ATCACGCACATTTTTCAAACGGATGTTCAAACGCGTAGTGAAGGAAGCAAAAAAACTGTACGCTTTTTTTCTTACTAGACAGATGGTTAATTAGTAATGAATTTAATTTAGTGTCAATGGTATTTATTTATTTATATCAAATGGCAGGCGTTTTGATAGTTATCATTAGCCCTTTAGTTGACTTCAGGCTTCACAGAAGGAGGGAACAGAAGAGTGTTTCAAAGATGTAGAAGAGACAAAGGTAGAAAAATGGTGAGGTGAGTACTGTGGAAGTAGTCGAATATGACACCGTGGGATGATGGTAGTTAGAATTCAGAAGTCAACTGCCAGTTAATAGACTTTTTTCCGTATGAGTGCACGTTGCCCACGTGGAGGTAAGTCTATCGAACACCCCAGTGTCAATGACAAAAGTTAGAAAAAATTCCAAAGCAGACAAAACACGCTTGAAGGCCTGAAGGCTATTGAAGTCTTAACTGAAGCTTTTATGTGGTTAGGTGTTTACAGTCTGCGATACTAATCCTGCCTGAAATGATTTAATTCGGGCTATGCTAATTTGAATGACGACCCACAAAGTCTGATGACGACGTAGTTGCATCTCTGATTGAATCGGATACTCAATTAACTGGGAAGATATCACATAAACTCCCATTTCTTCACTGTGCTGAGTTTGAATACTACTATGCTGAAAATTTCTCAACAGTCCACTGAATTTTGTCAACACTTTTACGATTTGTGTACTCTAGGTGCGCACTATCAATATTTCTTAAATCTAGCTCGCTTTGATTTTTCGTGTCTAATCTGTGACTTAGTCGTGATTTTCACAATCAAAAGCGAGTTATCTTTCATTGAAGACTAGTTGTGAGGTTAGGCAAAGGACTCCTCTCAGCAAGCCTTCTGACTGCGCTTAACCCTTGTGTTAGTCTCGCAGTTTTCGATGTGTTTACCGAATCAGAGGTTACGAGTTCGATGCCTGTCAATACTCTTCCAGTAATATGTGTGGGCGACCCCACTGCTAGATTCTGGCCAACAGTAGGAATGGTAGAATTGCTTTTCTACTAGGATCGGGTATCTCACCTCCTATCATATCAAGTTTTATGTACACTTCCGTCGATGTTATTAAGATTGCATTCATGAAGCCTTAAACTATCCTACTCTCTAAATCTTATTTCTAATTGCACATAGATCTACTTTTACAACCTGGTGAGTGTCGAATTCGTGGATTCAAACGTTTCAGCGACGTTTGGGCTGGTGGTTTTGCCACAATTGCTCGCTGTGTTCAAACAGGCGTGATCTACGCATGTGGTCTCAACAATTATGGTCAATTGGCTCTAGTTAAACAGCTTCAAAAGCCATCTGCTACAGGGGTGAGTGAGGAGCTATCCGAGTCGATGCTGGCAAAGAAGCAAGGTCCCCTCATACAGTTCATGCTCACTCCGGCTAATGGATTCGATCCAGAAAAGAAATGGACTCAATTTGCTATTGGAATGCATCACACTCTGGCTCTAACTGATTCAGGTAAGAACCCAATGTCTTTAAACAAATGTGTTTGCTTTCAGGTCAATATTGTTGTGAGCTAGTGGGGTGTACACATATGCTAAGTCAGAGGTTATCAGGTTAGATACTCATTGGCCTTTAGCAAGAAGGACTTGAATAGTTTCAAGGCCTATTGACAAGTTTTAACAAGTGTTTAGTATTCTCCAACGGCTAATGGTATAGTATACTTAGATTTTATCCAAGATTCGCCTATCTAACAGGATACATTTCTTAGCGTTTTGCCTGATCTATCTCAAATATGAGTTTGTGCTACTGTAAAATAAATGCCTCAGAATTATAGAGCCTAAGTTGTCATTCTCTCATCTTCTATGCACCTTAGTGATATGTGTAGACTAACGGGTGATAACAAGATAAACCGATGTCTCAAATCATTTAATCTGCAACTAGGCTATGTATATATATGGGGCTAACAGGTTATTTGATCCGTCGACTGTGAAATCCATGTTACCAGAATTTAGTGGGAGGAAGGGGTGTGGGGGGGGGGAGTGCAGTAGGTCATCCCAGTGGGAAACAAATGAATTTGATCCTGTGTTGGCGACGTCGCCAAGTTACTAAGATAAATATGTTAGATGTGTCTTAACTACGCGAAAGCGAAGCCTTCTTTGTGAGTGGCTGGCTATTCACTAAGATGCTTTCTATGCTCCAAATAAGCTTTGACTGCAACGAGCTTGGGAATTTTAGGTCTCTTCATAGGGCCTCATTTTCGTGCTATGCCTGCCAGAAAGATGGTCTTATCACTTCATTAAATCAGTCTTTTTATCTCTAGGTGAAGTGTACGCAGTGGGCCGCAGTGACTATGGTCGTCTTGGTTTCCCTACAGAAAAAAACTCCAGTGCGTCAGATAGATCAGCTGTGCCTGAACCGCACTTAGTTCAGGGTCTCCTTCATGGACGAAAATGTTTGTGGATTGGCGCTGGAGAGTCATGTTCTTATGCTGTGGATGATTCTGGTAGGTCAACAGTTGTATTCCTTTTTAGTGAGCACGATTAAGGTTATTTGTAAATTAAGACCCTTCTACACTGGTAGTGTAGTTTCTGTCGCTATGACCTATCTACCCACTAGACTATTCGCAAGATGTCTACAAAGACTGTAAATGCGAATATGAATAATCTTTCAATTTGTAATGGTTAAGGTTAAAACACCGTAGCTTTTGTTCCGATAACAGTCATATTGCGACACTGGCATGTATTGTATTCCTTCAAATTACTACAAATGGCTACTACTCATTCTGCAACAACTTAGCCTTGTGTCTTTGAGCTGTGTATATCAGACTCCTAACAATAAAATTCCGAAGTAACTGTAATTGGATTGACGTTTACAAGTAGCATCTCAAGCATGCACTGCTTTTGCTATATTTCCATTAATTTCGATAAGTAAGTTGTGGTTTAGGAGATTCAGCGTCTTTATTATATAGCATAGCCCACAACAGGACAGAATTGAAAACGGTTAGTTCGCTGCAAGAAATAGACAAAAATGGTCATCAGTAGGTCCTCCAGCAAGTGGTTGTGGAAAGAGGATTGAACAGATGCTGGGATTATAATGTCAACGTCCAATTCATCGTGCATCTCTTTTTATTGTTGGATTCACTTTTCACAACTTGAGCTGATTTCTGTCAACTAAGGGCCTCAATATATCACAAGGGATTTTTTAATCATATTTTCCCGTGATTTGTAGCGGATTGATACACTAACAATTATGCTCAGTAATCTCTGTAGCAAGATCCTCCTGTTTGGAAATGCTACCAGCATTAGCCAGCTACCGCAAAGCTATAGAGGAAGTAGACGTATTGCTCGGAGCATGTTTATTTGGGTTGTGTTACAGACGGGGTCTACTGATTGATAGCTGGCTGAGAGGTCTCTACCCACATGACCTCACTTGCTCCCTACCCGATAAGTAGCACGGCCGCACCTTCGAGTCTGTCTGAGTGAGTATGGAATTTCTTTATTCAGCATTGTGAACCCCACAATACTTCCCCTCTAAACCGTGGTCGGGATACGAATAAGGTAGATAAGCGTTTGATGATTAGTTACTCTACATATTGTGCCAATCATTACTTCAATTTTATGCTCCCTTATATTTATTTCCCATCTTGAATCACAGTGAAGCTTCTGTACTTTTCATTATCTTGGAAATATGCTCATTTTAGGTTATTGTTCTCTTTTAGAAAATGATTTTTTCGGGCGGTGGTTTTATGCTGCGGATGTTATAGTAAAATTTCTAGCTCAGACTGATATTTTCATTCTTGAGTGTCAAATAGGCTATTAGAGCTGAAATCTATTGTCCTACATTAATTCTCCTTGATACGACAGAAAATGTTCCATGATTTTGTGGTTTCGACTAAATTGTCTTTTCTCCGTGTCTTCAGGTAAGGCCTTCTCTTGGGGCATGGGCAGTAGTCAGCAACTTGCCCAAGAGGACGAAGACGAAGATGCATTGGAACCAGGTGAGATGGTTGGCCGAAACCTTGAAGGTCGTCGTGTTATCATGGTAGACGCGGGGGGTCAACATGCGGTCATGTTGGCCTCTTGTTCATCTAAGGACAGAGCGCCAAGCAAAGCTACCGTTGCGGTGACGACAGCCTCCACAACAGTAATTCCCGATCCTAAAAGAAATCACAATCATGCTATAAACGAACCTATGGATACTGACAGTGCACCTCCCGATACTACCGAAATTCCAATTAGCAATGGAGGAAACACAGCGGATAAGTTAACGCCTGCTGTAAGCTCAACAACAGTATCTTCGGCTGCAAATCCGCCTCCAGAAGTAGCAAGTACGGCGGGTGCTACAGTGAACTCAAGCTCAGTCCACAGCTGTTCTCTTGTGCCCAGTGATCAGTCGTCCTTAAGCAGTAACCATAGTACGGATGGAGGCGGATCTAGCCGAATGGGAAGCTCAATCTTTGCTCAACCAGTTGACGCACCTCTGAGCCTATCTAAGGCAGGAACCTCGTCAACAAACCAACAGACAGCTTCGGCTAATTGCGGTGGAAGTAATGCTAGCACAAGTGAAGCTGGACTAGCACTCACTGAAACGGGATCAAATACCGCTTCTCCCTCAAACACGCATTAATAAGGTGCTCTCTTAAACCCCTTTCCCTCCACCCTCCTTTTAATATTCCTACCCCCAATGTTTGAAAATGACTTGCCGGTACATCATGTCTCATTTACTCCGCTTCAATAACAGGATGTATGCGAATTCGACGTTGAAGAACAAAATAAAAATGTGTAATAAGTGATAAGTTTAGAATATTATATATTACTATAATATGCCTTATTAGTTATTAGACATGAAAGAATCAAGTAAAGTGAAATGCAGAAACAAACAAATAACAACAAAAGTATTGCGAAGAGAGGAGAAATGAAATGAGCTAAATGAGGGAACACTTTCTCTTGTTTTTGAATGGATCATCTTTGGAAGCATTAATAAGTTGATCCGCATCTGCATGCTCGAAGCAATAGCTTTTAATATCGTTAATAGCAACACTAAGTTTGAGACGCTTCATATTTAGGCGTGATTTGAGCATCTGAATCTCGAGTTTCTTGTGGTCGATTTCGTCCTGTCTGTTGATAACGACAGTTGTGTCACCAGGCTAAAGAAATACAAAATTTCGGAAGGATAATTGCAAGTACAAATAAAATGGCTTCAACTAAAAAATAACATGGAAACACTTGGCCGAATCAAGGTCATTACAATGATAACGAAAAATTTAAACATATAAAGATAAGTTGCAATGTATACGTATACAACAGATTAGGAAAGAAGCTGGAAATGAAGGCTTACAGTCATAATGGAAATCCTAGCCCAAAAATAAATTGTGACCAGATGGGCTAATTGAGATTAAGTATATAAGAAATTGCAAGTCGAGTATTTCTGCAAAATTTGCAAATTAAAATATAAGGAGTTAATAATAAGAAGCTGGGAGCTTAAAAAGCACCCAAAGTTATTTCCTGCAATATTTTTTATTTTATTTCCCTGTGTCTAAAGACAATTTTCACTACTTTAAGCATTTCAAAGCATATTTAAGCATTAAAAATTATTTTTAGCTTGTTTCATTGTATATTTTTGTATATTCTATTATATCGGGGACATTTATTACTTTTGCTGGTTTATATACTTGAAGTTAAACGCGGCAATTTCAGTTTCACTATTTACTTATTTTTCCTGATTTTAATTTGTCAATTTTATAACAATCAGATATGGGTAATGAGGCATCTCTTCCGGAATTGTGTTCCACTTTTGATGTTGAGGAAATCAAACGACTAGGGAAAAGATTTAAAAAGCTTGATCTTGATGGATCTGGATCCCTAAGCGTTGAGGAATTTATGAGTTTGCCTGAACTTCAACAGAATCCTTTAGTGGCACGAGTCATCGAAATTTTTGACACAGACGGCAATGGGGAAGTGGATTTTAAGGAGTTTATTGAGGGAATGTCTCAGTTTAGTGTTAAAGGGAACAAAGAGGCCAAACTTAATTTCGCTTTCAAAATTTACGACGTCGATAAAGATGGATACATAAGTAACGGTGAATTGTTCCAGGTTGGTTTCGTGCATTTTTGTTTTTTTATTGTCTTATTCTTTTCATTTTGACTGTTTTATACATATGCTTTATTTAACTAGGTTCTCAAAATGATGGTTGGTAATAACCTAAAAGATGCCCAACTTCAACAGATTGTTGACAAAACCATAATGTTCGCAGATCAAGATGGGGATGGCCGCATTTCATTTGAGGAGTTTTGCCAGGTGGTGAGTGGCCTGGATGTTCACAAGAAGATGGTTGTTGATGTTTAATATGCGCTTGTGTAGTAGATGCCATCAGCAAACTGTAATCTCTCCGCCATTTCTCCTTATTCCCCTCTTCCTATTTCTACTCATATTGACGTGACGCCTTTCCAATTAGCCGTTTCCGCGTTTGCTAAAAATCACTTTCACTAATCCTCCGCACATTTGACTGACTCATTTATTTTGATATTAGCTCGTTAACATCGTTTTGATGGTGTTGGCTATGTTCAACGATCAATTATCAACTTTTCTCTCTCTCTCCCTTCTGTGTTTATCGTCGTCTGTGATGTTATCTTTTCTTAGCTCTTTCTTCTCCTCCTCCATTTGCTGTGCATGTGCAATTTAATTTTGTGTATATCTACTTCTTCGCACTACTCTCCTCCCTTTCTGTATTATTGATCGACGAGTGGGTGGATATCGTCTTTTATTTCTTCCTTCTCTCCTTGCTCACTAATATACAGAAACAGCGAATTTGCGTTGCCTTCCAGAATCGCATTTGACTCTCGCAAATTCATATTTCACAATACATCCATTATTGCGATGACTTCTATAACACCTCTATACACATTTATCACCCGGAAGATATAACAAAGGATTTCCCCTGTTTCCACAATCTGCTTGATTGCCTTCCATCGGCCATCTTCATTATGATCGATGTTTATTTCGCGTTGTCATTTTACTTACTATAATCTATGACATTTTATGAGACCAGAAAAAATCGAATTGGCTTTCATTTTTTCTTTGCCTTTTATATTTCTTTGATTTCCGTTTTCTTCTTTCTTTTTTTCCTTGCTTTGGAGACACTGCTTGTATCTGTATACTTCATCTCTGTGCTCTATCTCTCGTTCTTTTGTATTTAATTTAACCGTGGTTTTTAATCATGAGTGTCTTTATTCATTTCAAAGGAAAAGAGGACTTTTCTGACGAATTTCTTTGCTTTTAATCATTCTGGGTACCACATTTTGCTTTGAAGTAATTCGACTGCATTCATTTTACTAATGTTCAATCTAGGTTTTTTGAAGGTAATGATACTTTATTTATTTAATTTTTTTGTACTCATCTTGAGTTTGTACGTAGATTTCGAAAGAATTAAGATGAAACGAGCTACGTAATTGTGGTAGCAAATTGTCTAATTCAATTGTACAGGTTCGGTAACTTCTTCTCTATTTGCCTTGTGGCTGTCACGACTTATAGAGAAGTTTTGCCCAATGTTCCCACGATGAGTACTGGATGGAATTTGAATTAATTTGCTTCTTATTTCATCTTCCTGTCTGCCTTAAAAGCCATGAATGTGAATGCTGCCTTAATATCGCTTTCTCCTTTACTCTCGAGTTTTGCTACGGGGAGCTCTTTTTGAAGAATTTGGTACTTTACTTGCTCCAGGGAGTCGGCTTTCCAAAGGTTACACTACTACATGCAATCTTCTAGCATGAAATTGAATATATTATTTGTCAGGTTTGTCGAAGAATGGAGTGGAATGAACAAGTGAAAACTTAAGCAAAAATAGACCTGCAATTTAAGCGGGAACGGGCGTGTGTTTAAAATTCAAGAACTGAGGAAGTGCAACGGTGCATGGATGGCTTTTTCTCCCTTGAGGATGTTAGTACTACTTCCGCAATATCATATGATGCAAGTGCATTTCTTCTATAATTTTAGAACAATGCAGCCTGTTCAAATCAAGAATTTGAACTCCACGATCAATACTTTAAAAGGCTTACTTCTTGGAGAATTTTGAATTTTCGGATTATCAAAATCTACTTAAGATGCCTATTTAGTACATAAGGACTTAGCAGAAACGGGAATAGATCCACAAATTCAACGTCATTTCAATCGTCCCTCTCCTGTTGAAAAACACTTCATGTGACCATTTTGTGCCGTAAATTAAAAATACTAAGTTAATGTTAATCTGCGACCTACGGTTGATTGCATCACAAATGGGCAGCACTTGTTTCCTTTTTTGGCTGGTGATGACGTCGGGCTGTTTATTCTAAATTAGCACAATTTCAATTCTCTTCGTATTCAGTTATTAAAAGAGGCTAGTTCATGATTTAAATAGGTGAATGATGTCCTATCTTCAATTCGCCATCATTATATAATTGCTTTTTCACGAACGAAATAGAAATTAGATAGTATTGGCGTAGTTTTTGACAAACCGCCAATCTGTAGCGGATTGCTACGCCAGTAAAGCCTGACTGACTCAGAAATCTCTATGGCAGATTCTCCAACATCTAGCTAGACTCCCAGAACAAGCTAAGCTATAGCCCAGCTCCAAGGGAAACAGACGTATAGCAAGGAATACGTTTATTCGATACGTATATTGATAGCGAAGTGTGATGTTGGCAAAGCGATTAGTTATCAGATAACTCAAGCATAATTCGCGTGAACATGAATAGCTAAATATTTCTGAGTAATATTCTATAGCAGTATTTCTATTTGGTCATTGACGGAGTGTCCCACAAATAATCTTTTTCAGTGGTAAACTTTATGTCAAATGGCAGACTTTACGAAAGTTATTATTATCATGAAATACAGTAATAAGCATGTTTTGACATGAGTTGATAAAAATGTCTTTGGTTTATTTTATCATAATTTTCTCATCTTCTTCATTAACGTCAAACTAATAAATAAACTCCAAATTTGTCACATAAGCACAGCGATAGACTTACCTCCACGTGGTGCACCCTGGGCAACGTATACTCATACGGCAAAAAAGTCTATAAATCGGCAGTTGACTTCGGACTTCAAACTACCATGACCCCATTGAATTTCATATTCGAATAATTTCACAGTATTCACCTCACCTTTTTTCTACCTTTCTGTCCGTCTGTCTCTTTTACGTCTGTGAATCATTATTCTTCCTCCTCTCGACTTTTTACCAGTTGGATGTTCCTCCTCCTCCCCTCTGTGAAGCCCGAAGTCAACTAAAGGGCTAATGATACCTATCATAATGCCTGCCATTTGAAATAAATAAATGAAAGCTGGTCCTGAAATTATAATGAACGTATTCGGGTTTCGATAGGGATTGATTTTAATTTAATTCACTATTGAATAGGTGAGGCACTGCGGTAAGTGAGAAGAAGTTGTTCTCTTCATG